CCCCCCCCCCCCCCCAGGCCGTGCAACCCCGGGGTCAGCTGGGACCTGCGCTAGGGGATGAATGAGGTGGGTGACATAAAGTACATCTGGGTTGGAATGGTGGGGGTACCTGTCAGGGTCACAGGGTGTCTCACTCCCTTTTCCCACCAGTCATTAGTGGCAACTTGGGCAGCAAATTGATCCGGGTTTGCTCTGAGGTTCCTTCCTGCTGAAAAGCCTCCTGGGCCCTTCCCTTGCCCCAAAGCCACAGTGACATTTTCTGGAAACAACGATGGACCCAGATCTGATCATCCCCCCACCCCTGCCACCTCTGATCATCCCCCCAGCCCCGCCACCGCAGTGGGTCGCAAAAGCCTGGGGGGTGGCCTGAAGGCGGCAGGGGGAGGGGTGCTGGGGGCCCTCTCCACGCCCCCAATCCTTGGGCCCACCTTGCCGCTCCCTCCCGGGTGGTCTCTCCTCCCTCCTGGGGCACCTTCGGGGTTTCCGGGCCTCTAGGGCAGGGCTTCCCTCTAGGCCAGCCCCTCATCCAACCCTTTGGCCCAGAGCTTGTCCCTCTGTCCAGAGCTTCCGTTGGCCCGGAGGCGGGAGCAAGAATGCGCCCTCTCCTGACAGAGCCCACGGAGCCCGCGTGGGGCCCTGGGGCGGAGGGTGGGGGCTCATCGGCCCTGCAGCTTCACCTGCCCACTCACCTGGCCCTCGGCCCGGGGTACCTGACCTCCGGGGCTGTTTGCAGAACGGACCTCGCGCACCCGTGCGCCAAACGGGGTGGAAGTGATCTCGAGCCGGGCAGATCTCAATTCGAATTCCAGCTCTGCCATTACCAGCAGGGTGACCTTGGGTAATTTACCTCTTCTTGGGTGTCAGTTTTCTCGTCTGTGAAGTGGGAATAATAATAGTAACTCCTCTTGTTGGAGGGCTAAAAGGGTCCAATGACCCGTCCAATGACAAGCCCCCCTGACTCCTCAGGAGCCTGCCAGTTCATTCCCCTTCTCCAAGACCCTCATCCCGGATCACCCCACTCCTGCAGCCTCCCAAGCCTTTGTCCTGTGCATGGGCCCGATCACCCTCAGGCCTCCCGGCCCCTCCATCCCTCTCCCCTTCTCTGCCCTCCCCTAAGAAGGCTGGCTACCCTTCTCACCCTGGCGGCTGGTTTCAACCTGGGGGAAGACTCTTCAGAGAGGGCAGGACTAACTTCCGGCTTTGGGAGACAGGTAGGGGGTGGCCACACTTAGAGCTGGATAAACCACCAGCAGCACCACACACAACCCCCACTCCGCCCCACTTTGAGTCTGCTTTCACCAAGGAAATGCATTTGTAACTCTAAGATTTTTAAAAGCCAGTACCATGTCTGGCACCGGCTCACCTCTCCTCTGGCCCTGATATATTCAAAACCGAGATGGGATGGGCCACTAATTCACCCAGTCACCTATCACGTGAGAGCATGTGACAGGCCCCTATACTGTCCAGGATTGTATCTCTCAAAGTTTCAGAACCCAATTTGTAAATGTTCCCCAGAGACAGCCTCCACAGTCTTAGCTGGCTCGGGGCAGAGGTCCAGCTGGCAGGACCAGAGCTAGGCCAGGAAGACCCTCCCCCTTCCCACAACCTTCTGCCCTCGTCTCAGACAGATAACTCTGATCTCCTCCACCCGACAGGTTTTCATTCTCCAGGTGGCAGGGGAAGCAATTCACTTCCAGACTCCAGTCTTCACAGTTAGTCATCCTGGAGGAAAAGAAGGTTTTCCTCAGCCTATTCTCACCCTCTCCCTGTTTCAAGATTTCCCAAGTAAGCATTCTGATTAGCTCAAGTCACATGCTCATTCCACTCTGGCCAGAGAAGATAAGTCAACTGTGCTTCACAGTGGCCAGGCAGACAGGGTCACTGAGAAGTCAGCAATTTGGATTACATATCTGGATCAACATAAAAACTTTCTTAAAGGAAGAGGAATGGTGTCTTCAGAAGAAGGGAGAAATCATGGCAGACCAGGGCAGCATTTTCACGTGCACTGTTATGTTATACTTTTGAATCTCATTACACAGTAAACCCAAATGACAGGCATTATTATCCTCATACTGCAAATGAATAATAAAGTCTCGGGTTAAGAACTTGCCCAGAAGATCATGGATAGTTGCTAAAAACATTAGGCTGTAGGGGAATACATTATTTGCATGGTGCTAGAGTTTATCGTCCTTACAAATTACTAGTTGCAAAAGGAAAACATACGTTTACGTAGCAGAGATCTGGCAGTCACTACCTGAAACAGGTGAATAAACGGCATGACTTAGGGTGGGATAATATGACGTCGGTTGCCTACGGAGGCATTACAGTATGGAGACATGACCTATGAGGTTTTCTTGCCAAAAATGTTTAATCAAGCCTCTAAACCTCATTCCAGTTTAGAGGAAATACAGGGGGGTGGAGGGAAGTTAAATACCACCACAGGACAACAGGAACCAATTCTGTGAAAAATTCTAAAGGATAACTGTTCTGGACTCCTCCAAAAGTCATTGTCACAAACAAATGAACAAACAAAAGCAGAGGAACTATTCTAGATTAAATGAAACTAAAGAGACATAAAGCCAAATGCAATGTGACCCTGGTTTTGTTTTGTTTTTTTCTGATTAGAAATAAAATTGCTATAAAACACATTCTTGGGGCAACCAGGGAATGTCTGAATATAGACTGCACTTTATTTTTTTTTATTTTTTTTATTTTTGAGATTTAACAGTTTAATAACGACTCCTCCACAGCCCGACGGGGCAGCTACCGCACCACGTCTCACAGCAGGGCCCAACGGGCACCCCACGCTTGCCCCGGGGGTGGCTGACTGGAGGCCCTGAGGACACAGAGCGCCCTCCCTGCCCGCTGGCCTGCACAGCAGGACCTCTCCTCAGAGCAGCGGCCAGGCCTGAGCGCGTCCCTTAGACTGCATTTTAGATGTTATTAGGAAATTAAATTATTTTTCTTAAGTATGTTAAAAGTGATGCGATTATGTAGGAGACTAACCTTACTTGTAGGAGAAGCATGCCATGCTACTTAGGGGTGAAGGTTATGTCCATGCATGCTCTCAAATAATTCAGAAAAAAAATTATATGGATAGAAAGTAGATATGGACAAGTGATAATAATTACTTATCTACATAGAGGATATATAGCGTGTTCATCTATACCATTTTTCAACTTTTCCATATATTGAAATCTCTCAGATAAAAAAAAAAAAACTGGAAAAAAATAAAAAGAAACTTGGCTAAGAACATATCCACAGCAGTAACCTAAAGTACTCAGCCACGCAGCATCAAAGTGCTTTCTCTAATGACAGATACGACGTTCAATGTTCTGTGTGTACAGTCCTTGCCCTCGCAGAACTTGCCATCTAGCACAGAGACCGGTACCTGAATAAATCACTTTTTTAAAAAATGTGCTCAGTACACAAAGGATGGATAGCATGCTACAGGGATAGCAGAGGACAATTCAGCCCAAGGGAAGACCTGCAAGGAGGCAGGATTTACATGGAATCTTATCCCCAAAAGGGGATTGCATTGTGCAAAGATTTTCACCTGCTCTTCAGCAAGAACTACTATACATGGCACATATGTGCACATGGAAAAATCTCATTTCCCTTAGCTACGTGCAATGCACACAAATGCTTTCTATCCCAGTCCAGTCATGCTTACTTTTTTCTTTTACCCTCAGTGCTGGTTGCAACTCACTCCAATAAATTAATTTTATGACCCACTAGTTGCTTTGACCTACATTTGAAAAAATACTGTGTTCAAGGACCCAACAAATTTCAAAATGACTGGAAGGAGCGGCCCCCAGAGAACCGAAGACGTCAATAGGCAGAACAGAGACGTGAAGGGTCTTGTAGAGTTACATCCTAAGGGCCATGAGAGGCCTCTGGTAAATTAAAGCAGTCATATTTGGGCGCCAATGCCAAAATTCCTCTTCCTCTTACTATCTTCCCTTTCCCAGATTCTATCCTCTAACAGAGCACAGGAAGAACCTCTCATTCAGGGGAGCCCAAGGCTGCGCCCACAGCATGGCTAAGGACCACCAGGCCAGCCCCCTCCAGGACTGGAGATTTTAGAATGTGTGCACAGGCTTAGGTTATAGCCTCCTCTGGAAGCATTTTCATATTTTCCCAGGTCCAGGGTAGAGGACAAGCAAGAATAACTGTCTGCTGGAAAATGGGGTGGAGTCCCCATGAGCTGGAGCTCTGACTTCCCCCAGACTCTGTGCTTCCTTGGGCCAGAGCTCCCAAGGGAAAACCCAAACTGTAGTTTTACCAGTTAACAGAACTGGGAAGTGAGCAGGCCTCTGCTCTCCAGACCTGGTTTACTGCACTTAGGGAATCCACCCACTAGCTGGCTCCATTCCCAATGCCAGGGCCCCACATCTCCTTCACCTGGGACACCTTCTCTCTCCTTTCACATAGGCTCCTGATGTGCTCCACACTCCCAGTCCAGCCCTCTTGCTAGCCCTCAGTGACTACGCCACAGATCCTATGTGATCTTTTTGTGTCTTTCAGCACCTGTGAAGCATTGTTGTCCCCTATTGCATATATAGGTTCCCAACCTTGAATGCACATTAGAATTCGCTGGTAACTTGCAAAATCCCAATATCCAGGTCATACTCAATTCCATAAAATCTCTGAGATTGGGACTGAGGTACTTTGAAAGCCCCCCAGGTGATACAGTATGCTACCTAAGTTAAGAATTCCCGCTCTATTATGTCCTATTGCAGCTAGGAGCCATGAGTGGGCAAGGATGTGGGGTTACTATGGCTTCAGGTGATCAGTCATCCTGGTTCGCACAGGACTGAGCATTTTCTCAGATGTGAGACTTCCAATACTAAGACTGAGAAAAGCCTGGCCAACCTGGATGAGCGGCTGCCCTTGTGCTCACCTGAGGTCTAACAGCTTAGTCAATTTCTGGCCACTAGTAATACTTGTGCCCAAAGAACCAGAGCCCTGCTTTAGTGGGTTTTTTTCCTACATCTTTTTTTTTTTTTTTTTTTTTTTTTTTTTTTTTTTTTTTTTTAAGTAATCTCTACACCCTACGTGGGGCTTGAACTTAACAACTCTGAGATCAAGAGTTGCATGCTCCACTGACTGAGCCAGCCAGGAGCCGCTCCCCCACTACTTTAGTGCCTTTGATACGGCTAGACAAACTCTTTGCTCTCCTTTCTTGGTCTCCACGGACACCTCCACCCTTGGAGCCTGGCCCATGACCCTGCACAATGACTTTGTCCTGAGATGCCCCTCCCTGCTATTCTTTTCTGCCAGTCAGAATCCTGCCCAGTCTGTGGGGCACCTCAGTCAGTTAAGCGTCCAACTCTTGATCTTGGCTCTGGTCATGATCCTACCGTTCATGAGTTCAAGCCTGCGTTGGGCTCTGTGCTGACAGTGTGGAGCCTGCTTGAGATTCCCTCTCTCACACACTCTCTGCCCTCCCGACATGTGCTTTCTCTCTCTCTTTCTCTCAAAATGGATAAATACCCTTAAAAAAAAGAATCCTGCCCAGCCTTCAAACCCAACTCATCAAGCCCTGCCTCATCCCTGAAGCTTCTCAAGACCCCACAGAAGGAAAGGGCCCATTCTGTGGTGAAAGGAGTGGGGAGGGACTCGAGAAGGGTCACATGCCGAGTAGAGTAAGAGGGCACACCAGCTCAGAGGTCAGACCAGGCCTCACAGAGTGCAAGTCCATACTCGAGACATCTAGATGGCAAGGTGACCCTTAGTTAGTGCTAATAATCACCTCCAGATTATACAGAAAGGAAGGTAGAGGAGTGTAGATAGAAGAGCTGAGACAAACAACAAGACTTTGGTGTCCAGTAAACAGATTCATTCAACAGCCATCCACTCAATACCTACTG